ATAATAAGAGCTATTTATGACAAACCCACAGTCAATAGCACACCGAATGGGCAACAGCTGGAAGCAAGGATGCCCTCTCTCACCACTCCTATTTGACATAGTATTGGAAGTTCTGACCAGGACAATTAGGCAAGAGAAAGAAATAAAGGGTATTGAAATAGGAAGAAAGGAAATCAAATTGTCTCTATTTGCAGATGATATGATTACATATTTAGAAAACCCCATTGTCTCAGCCCAAAAACTCCATTAGTTAATAAGCAACTTCAGCAAAGTCTCAGTATACAAAATCAATGTGCAAAAATCACAAGCATTCCTATACACCAATAATAGACAGAGAGCCATCATGAGTGAACTCCCATTCACAACTGCAACAAAGATAATAAAATACCTAGGAATACAACTAACAAGGAATGTGAAGGACCTCTTCAAGGAGAACTACAGACCATTGCTTAAGAAAATAAGAGAGGAATAAACCAATGGAAAAACATTCCATGATCACAGAGGGGAAGAATCAATATTATTAAAATGACCCTGCTACCCAAAGTAAGTAATTTATAGATTCAATGCTATTCCTGTCAAGCTACCTTTGACTCTCTTCACAGAATTAGAAAAAAACTACTTTAGACTTCATATGGAACCAGAAAACAGCCTGTATAGTCAAGACAATCCTCAGCACAAGGAACAAAGCAGGAGGCATCATGTTACCTGACCTCAAACTATATTACAAAGCCACAGTAAACAAAACAGCATGATACTGGTACCAAAACAGATATATAGACCAATGAAACAGAACAAAGGCCACAGAAATAACACCACACATCTACAACCATCTGCTCTTTGAAAAATCTGACAGAAACAAACAATAGGGAAAGGATTCCCTATTTAATAAATGGTATTGGGAAAACTGGCTAGCCATATGCAGAAAACTGAAACTGGACCCCTTCCTTACAGCTTATACAAAAATTAACTCAAGATAGATTAAAGACTGAAATAAAAATAAACAAAAGATCAATAAAATTGTGTACTGAAATAATAAAATTAAAACAGCTAGCTAGCCTGAGCAGAAATATAAGAGAACTTAAAGTATAATAAAAAGAAAAAAAAGAAAAAAAAAGAAATAAGACCCAAATAAACTCAGAGGAAAAAGGAGACAGTACAACAGATACCACAGAAATACAAAAGATCATCAGAGAATTATATGCACAACTATATGCTAGGTAACTGGAAAACCTATTGGATACTGATAAACTCCTGAAAACATAAAACTCACCAAGATCGAATCAGGAAGAAATAAGACCTGAACAGATCAACTGTAGCAAAATTTAGTCAGTCATTCCAAAAAATTCCAGTCAAATTCTATGAAACATAAAAAGAAAAACTTCATACCAGTTTTAAAACTATTCCAAGAAATTAATGAGGAGAGAACTCTCCCTAACTCAATCCACAAAGTCAGTATTACCCTGATACCCAAACCAGACAAGGACATACAAAAAAATAAAACTCCCAGCGAGTATCTCTGTTGAATATAGATGCAAAATTCCTCAACAAAATACTAGCATAATGAATCTAATATCATATCGAAAAGATAATATACCATGACCAAGAAGGATTCATCCCAGGGATGCAACGATGGCTCAACATGTGAAAATCAATAAACCTGATACATCTCATCAACAGAATAAAGGACAACCCCTTTGAAAAGAGGGCAAATGAACAGACATCTCACAAAAGAATACATACAAGCATCCAACAAACATATGAAAACATACTGAGCATTAGTAATTATGACAGAAATTAAAACCATAATAAGATACCATCTTACACCAGTCAGAAAGTCTATTATGAAAAAGTAAAAAAAACAAAAAACAAACAAACAAAAAAACCCAAAAAACAACAACAACAAAAAAGATATTGACGAGGTTGTGGAGAAAAGGAAGGCTTATACACTGTTGGTTGGAATGTAAATTGGTTCAATTCCTATGTAAACGTTATGGAGATTTCTCACAGACCTAAATTAGAATTAACATTTGACCCAGCAATCCCACTACTGCATATCTACCCAAAGGAAAAGTAATAATTAAATTAAAAAGATACCTGCACTTCTATGTTTATTGCAGCACTATTCACAATCGCAAAGTCATGGAATCAACCTAAGTGCCCATTAAGGGATAATTAGATAAAGAACATGTAGTATTTATATACCACAGAATACTATAAAGCCATAAAAAAGAGTAAAATCATGTATTTTGCAGCAACATGGATAGAGTTGAAAACCATCATAATACGTGAAATAACTCTGAAACAGAAAATCAAATTTATCACGTGTTCTCACTTATAAGTGGGAGCTAAACAATGTGTACACATGGACGTAAAGATAGAAATAATAGACGTGATGATTTCAAAAGGGGGAAGAATAGACTGTCCTAGCCATATAATCAAGACAAGAGAAAGAAATAAATAGAATGTTCGAGTGAACAATCAAACAAGAGAAAGAAATAAAAGGCATCCACATTGGAAAAGAATTCAAACTGTTCCACTTTGCTGATGATATGATCTTACATTTAGAAAACCCCAAAGACTCCACCAAATAACTTCTAGATTTGATAAATAAATTCAGTAAAATAGCAGAATACAAAATCAACATAAAAATGAGTAGCATTTCCATACACCAATAATGAACTAGCTGAAGAAGAAATCAAGAAGGTAATCCCATTTATAACAGCTATAAGAAAAATACCCAGGAATAAATACAATCAAGAAAGAGAAAGATCTCTGTGAGGAAAACTACAAACACTGATTAAAAAAATTGAAAAGAACACAAACAAAAGACATGACATGTTCATGGCTGTAAAAGTTAGAGGACCTGGTCCCTGCTAGACAAGATGTGCAGGCACTAGAGTGGAGTTAGAACATGCAAGGGGAAGAGAGTGATGGCCACAAAGCACAGCTATTTCATGAAACTCCTTTAGTTAAACAGAAACAAATGACTGAAAAAAAGTTCTGAGCCCCAAAACCCACTCCTACCACCAACGCTAACAAAATACACATATACATAATGCTGTAAAAGGATTCAGACAAAGAATGATACTTGTTTAGTTTCAAATATATATAGTATGCTCTTCTTTATAAATACCTAAGGCAGTTTTTTGATGCTGGCTCCTAAAAAGCATGATAAAAACAGTGATGTGTGCTATAGAGAAAATAAGCTTCACATACTCAGAAAACCACCTTTTAAACAGAATCATTCCATGATGTCTCTGATCATTTATTTTAATATGGTCCCTATAAATGATATATTTTAAATGATATATTTTTCTTTCTCAAATCTTTCCCTTTTCAGTTACTGCTCATAATCTTACTCTTATTACTACAACTGCTATTACTATGAAGTTAGGTGTCCCAATAATTCCTTGACTTTTTACTTCCCTCTGGGAGGAAGTAAACCATAGCTTTCGGCGGCACATTCTAAAATCTTTTGGCCTTACATGTTCTCCACCTGACAGTTTTACCTTAAATGTGCTTACTTCCCACTTCTTTCTAACACTACCCCTCAACTTCAACCAATACTTCTGATGCTGTCTTTCTTTGTTAGCCATTTCTATCCTTTTCTCCAGCTAACCAAATCCTAACCATTCTTCAAGGCAAAAATCTTGGCATTACCTCATTTATGAAGTCTGCTCTCATTACCTTTGGCTGTAGGGGAATGGTGTGGAATAGGGTAGCTTCCAAGGGCCTTTGCTTTTATCTACACATTTTGCCCTTGCCATCAGTGAGACAATTTTGGGTCCTTACAATATATTTCCTTTTTTAAATTCCTGAGGCAAGTCTACGATCACCTGAAATCAAAGACCTTTGAATGACATATGTGGTAAGTATCATATTTTAATGATTCATTTTTATTGTCTTCAATATTAGCATTAGGTACAGTATAAGCACTCAGTTGGACCTTCTCTATCCAATTCTGTAGCCACTGACTACCTGGGGCTTTGGGAAATTGAAATGTCACTAGCACAAGATAAAATGTGCTGTAAGTATAAAATACACATAAGATTTCAAAATCTCAATACAAAAAATGAATGTAGAGGATAAATACATTTCTATATTGATTATATATTAAAATAATATGTGTATAAAATAAGTTACATAAAATAAAATATTACTAAAATTATTTTCACTTATTTATTTTTGTCTTTTAATGTGTCAACTAGAAAATTAATATTACATATATGTCACATTTTATATTTGTGTTGGGTGGCACTTATTTAGAATAACTTTTTTATAAATATGGAAATAAAAAAGGATAAATTGTTATTTCCTTGAATTTTAAGAGCTTGTAAGAATATTTACAGTTATATCCTATATACAGAGAATTTCTATCTGTACCTGGATCCTGCTATTCTAGAGAATCTATTCTGGGAGCTGTGGTTTATACTATAGAAGATACATCCATTCCTAACTATGATGTTTTTCTTAGATATACAATTATATTTAGGTTTCTTAGATATACAATTATATTACAATTTATGTTTACAGTTAAATTATAACTATACAATTAAATTACAATTTAAGTTTCTCAGATATACAATTTTATTTAGGTTAATGAACATTAGAAAACAGCAGCAAAAGCATCACTTTTCGACCATATGTGGTCTTTAACAAATTTCTAGTGATTGACAGTTTAAGGCAGATACAGAATTATTTTATTTCACTTGACTTTAATCACTGAAAGTATTTATTTATTTAAATGCAAATCACTTTTATTTTCAGGCTGGAGAAAATAATAAGGCATTTCTGTTACAAGTTGTAATTTCAAATAGCATAGTTCTTTTTTTTAAGTTTCAACATAAGTAGCAATAAAAGCTAATAAATTCCTGTCAGAGGATTCAGTTTAGAATAAACTAAAACTGAACACATCAAAAATAGAAATATTTTATGAATTTCATCTTGAAATTGATACCATATATCAAAGAGAACTTGGCATTAATACAAACTGTACTTACTTGATACTCTTGCAGATTTTTCTGCTAAAAAGAGAATATAAATAAGTTTTGTTTAACTGAGATAAAATGCAAGGAAATTATAAATCAGTAGACTTTATAAAAATATCTAATTATTTTGTTTCTTGCTTATTATTTAAGAATGAATGAAGAAATACAGTCCTCTATTGCCTGTCAACATGAGTCTTTGTTTTATCATAATTTTTAATTTTAAAAAATTTTTATTTAGAGATGAGGTCTCAGTTGCCCAAGGGAAATGAAGTAGTACAATCATAGCTCACTGCAGCCTCAAATTTCTGTGCTCAAGCAATCCTCCCACCTCTGCCTCCCAAGTAGCTGGTATTACAAGTATGAGCTACCATGCCTGGCTGATTCTTTGAATATCTTGGTTAATCTATTTTATCTAAGAAAATATGTCAGCTATCACAAAAGCTATTCATCAAAGTGTCACAAAATATTTATGCTTTTTAAATACTCTTACTAAAATCAGGATCTTTGTAAAATTAAGAGTTTTGGCTCAACTATTATTATGCCTAACTTGAATAAAATTACTTTGTATTTTGTAACAGCTAAATATTTTCTTTAAAATTCCCAGACTTCATGAAATATATCATTTAGAATTATTTTTCTTTCAAAAAACAAGTAAGATAAATAATTACCAGACTATAAAATAAATCTTAAAAAACAACATGCAAAGTAAGTCAGTTTACTTTTTCATAATAATTTATTTATTTCAATGAGAGGTTATTATTTTTCAAAGAAATGTGCTTTCTTATTAAGCTGCATGTAGGACAAAATAACTAAGGTGAAATTATTATCCCAAACACTAGAGCAGACATTCTAACTTCTTGAAAAAGACTAGTAACATGTCCATTCTAACATTAGTCTCATTTAAAGAGCCAGGCTACAATATATAACTTTTAAGCAATCTGTATTACATGGTTTATTGTGAGATTTGTAGAGTTTCTAACATAAACCTCAGGATTAAAATTTTATTAAAATTAGATTATTCCTATTAAAAACATTTTCAGCTTGGATAGATATTTTCTGTATCACTAGAGTACTATGGTTCATGCATAAAATTATAAAGTAAATAATTTGGAAAACTATTTCACTAAGACTAACACGTTATTATTTTTTTCTTTAAAAATACTAGCATTGGTTAGAAAGGTAGAAATTTAGGGAAAAAATAGACTTTCACTGATACATAATGAACTGTTAAATGAAGGAATGAATAAGAATATGCCTGCTCTCAATTATCTCTGCATTGGACTTGTGCTTTCGTATGTAATCACAATATGAAGACTTTAAAATGATAGATTCACAGAACAGAGTAAGAAATCTGAATCAGAAGTCTGAATCCCTTGTACAGCTGAGTTACAGAGGTTTCCTCAAATCATCTCTCTAATAGATCACTCCCTTGGGGGCAAAGTGGGATAGACTCTATCCTTGGGCTGCTCTGATTGGCAGAAAACTTTCTCTTGTATTTGCAGCAGCATAATAGAATACTGAAGTGTCAATAGATGGCCTTAACCATTATAGTGTTTGGAAACATAACAAACTTGGAGTCAAATCTTGTCTGTACCATATAAATGCTCTTGATATGTCAGATTTTCTTTCATTGCACTTATCTCATCTTCAAACTGGACATGATAATTGGGCTTTCCTAAGGATTAAGTAAACTAATAATAGGAAAATGTATAACCATACTTTTTCTAATTAATTTACTTTTCTCATCATTCTGGCTGATTATCTCAAAGGATATTAAACAATATTTAAAAGAATGTTTCAATATAAAAATTGTGCCCCTATATTATTCTACAGATGTAATTTTCCTTTGTATTGAAAGTTTTACCGCTTAATATTAGTGATAATTATGAATACATTAATAATTTTATGTGTAAGTGGTATGTCTAGATATATCTAGTCATTTCAGGGATATGTACCACAATGAGCAGTAAAAGGGAGTCAGTGAAAAACAAAGCTTTTTCTCCGCCTACTAGAGATCTATGTATTTGCTATGAATGGAAATAGTTGTCTTAGTTATGCTATGTTTACCTAGCAACTTAGAATTTACAGCACTTTTTTAAAGTAATTGAATTTGCCTAAAATTATGTTGCCAAGGCTACATAATTTAGAATAAACCTTATAGTTTTATGATAATAATACCAGAAAAATAGATCATTCTCTTTTTAAGAAACACATGTCTCCATTATGCATGCTGGCATTTCCTATTTTGTGTCTAGGTTGAATTAATTTAAAGGTCTAATTTATAAGTAATAAAAAAAATTCATAATCTTAACTGTATGTTATTTAATCATAGATGAAAATAAATCCCAGTAATATTTATTTTTACTACCATATTACTTTTGACATTGTTCATGCTAAAAAAGTCTTTTGTAATTGAGAACTTTTTCTTCTGGTGTGTAACAGAATATTTTGTTCACGTTAATGTTGCTGATAGTTCTGATTTCTTCACATTTTCTTATTTTCTATTGAAATGTAAGCCTTCTGCTAGATTTTCTACCTGTCCACTTACTCTGCTGTTAAGAGAAGTTTGTATCTTTTAGATTTCTTTGTTTCAAAATAATTTAATATTAATATTAAGCAACAAAATAATTCAGATATTTTCATACCAACATAGTACTTATGTAATTCAAGATTACCTTTTGTCACATTGTGTAACTGAAGACTTTCTTTTCTTGTTGAGACTGTTAATAAGGAAAATGTAAATTAAAATTAAATTTTTAAAGTAAATTTCCATAAAAATTGTCTCACATCAATGCTGAGCTTTAAAGAATGAAGATAATTTAAGTGTTATAAACATTTTCTCAAGGTGGTTTTCAAAAATTTTTTCTATCTAACTGGTACCTAACAAAAATAAATGTTAGCACTAGACATTGTTTTATAAACAGAGGTATAACATGAATGTAGGAACAAAATTAACTAGAATCTATGAAAAATGGGTCATTCTGATTAACTGGATTTGGAGATAAACAAAATGAGTTATTTTGTCATTGACAATAATTCTGATATGCCTAAGAATGCTTTCCTACTGATCTAATAAACTATCTCTTTGGTAATTAAGACCTTTGTAAGCTTTATGATAATTACACTCAAATCAGTAATTGTCATATTATATGGTGTAGTTTTCTAAATAAATAAACCCAATGCTAAGAAAAATGGCAGCACTGTAATTCGTTTTATACCTTGCTCATCAGTGGCAGAACAAATCAATGCTTATTTGCGTGGGTTGACTTACATCCATTGCTTCTTTGACACTGCTGTTACTAGATATCCACCAATTACTTACCACATTTCTTCTCTTACTCATGCTAGCACTCATCACATACATTTTTAAAAGTTTCTTTTTTTCATATGGTATAAATACATTTTGACTTAAAATATTTTAGCTTCTGGGCTTTGCATTCTATTTTTTTATTCTTTTAAAAAATTACCTTTTTCTTCTTTGAGATGCTTCATGTCTGCTTTTTCTGTGTAGAAGAAATAGTAATGGTAATTTATTTACTTATTTATTTTTAATTATACTTTAAGTTCTGGGATACATGTGCAGAACTTGCAGGTTTGTTACATAGGTATACATGTGTCGTGGTGGTTTGCTGCACCTATCAATCCGTCATCTACATTAAGTATTTCTCCTAATGCTATTCCTTCCCTTAACCCCCACTCCCAGAGAGGCCCCAGGGTGTGATGTTCCCCTCCCTGTGCCCATATGTTCTCGTTGCTCAACTCCCACTTATGAGTGAGAACATGCGGTGTTTGGTTTTCAGTTCCGGTGTTAGTTTGCTGAGAATGATGGTTTCCAGCTTCACCCATGTCCCTACAAAGGACATGAACTCATTCTTTTTTATGGCTGCATAGTATTCCATGGTGTATATGTGCCAATTTTCTTTATTCAGCCTATCACTGATGGACATGTGGGTTGCTTCCAAGTATCGGTCACATGCTATTTCTGGTTCTAGATCTTTGAGGAATTGCCATACTGTCTTCCGCAATGGTTGAACTAATTTACACTCCCACCAACATTGTAAAAGTATTCCTATTTCTCCACATCATCTCCAGCATCTGTTGTTTTCTGGCTTTCTAATGATTACCATTCTAACTGGTGTGAGATGGTATGTCATTGTGGTTTCATTTGCATTTCTCTAATGACTGGTGATGATGAACTTTTTTTAATATGTTTGCCTTCTTTTGAGAAGTGTCTGTTCATATCCTTCGTCCACTTTTTGATGGGGTTCTGTATTTTTTTCTTGTCAATTTCTTCAAGTTCCTTTTAGATTCCAGATATTATTCCTTTGTCATATAAATAGATTGCAAAATTTTTCACCCATTCTGTAGGTTGCCTGTTCACTCTAATGATAGTTCCTTTTGCTGTGCAGAAGCTCTTTAATTTAATTAGATACCATTTGTCAATTTTGGCTTTTGTTGCAAATGCTTTAGGTGTTTTAGTCATGAAGTCTTTGCCCATGCCTATGTCCTGAATGGTATTCCCTAGGTTTTCTTCTAGGGTTTTTATGGTTTTAGGTCTTACATTTAAATCTTTTTCTTTGTTTTCCGTTTTATTTTATTTTTATTTATTTATTTATTTTTGACAGAGTCTCACTCTGGCACCAAGCTAGAGTGCAGTGGCACGATCTTGGCTCACTGTAACCTCCGCCTCTCAGGTTCAAGCGATTCTCCTGCCTCAGCCTCCCAAGTAGCTGGACCACTGGCATGTGCCACCACGCCAGGCTAATTTTTGTATTTTTAGTAGAGACAGAGTTTCACCACGTTGGCCAGAATGGTCTCGATCTCTTGACCTCATGATCTGCCCACCTCAGCCTCCCAAAGTGCTGGGATTACAAGCATGAGCAACCACGTGCAGCACATTTAAATCTTTAATGCATCTTGAGTTAATTTTTGTATAAGGCATAAGGAAGGTGTCCAGTTTCTGTTTTCTGCATATGGCAAACCAATTTTCCCAACACCATTTATTAAACAGTGAATTCTCACTTTCCCCATTGCTTGTTTTTGTCAAGTTTGTCAAAGATCAGATGGTTGTAGATGTGTGCTGTTATTTCTGAGGCCTCTGTTCTCATTGGTCTATATTTCTGTTTTGGTACCAGAACCATGCTGTTTTGGTTCCTGTAGCCTTATAATATGGTTTGAAGTCAGATAGTGTGATGCCTCCAGCTTTGTTGTTTTTGCTTAGGATTGTCTTGGGTATGTAGACTCTTTTTTGGTTCCATATGAAATTTAAAGTATTTTTTTTTTCTAATTCTGTGAAGAAAGTAAATGGTAGCTGTATGGCAATAGCATTGAATCTGTAAATTACTTTAAGCAGTATGGCCATCTTCACGATATTGATTCTACCTATCCATGAGCATGGAATGTTTTTCCATTTGTTTGTGTCCTCTCTCATTTCCTTGAGCAGTGTTTTGTAGTTTTCATTGAAAAGGTCCTTCGCATCCCTTGTAAGTTGTATTGCTAGGTATTTTATCCTCTTTGTGGCAATTGTGAATGGGAGTTCACTCATGATTTGGCTCTCTGTTTGTCTATTATTGGTGTATAGCATTGCTTGTGAATTTTGCACATTGAGTTTGTATCCTGAGACTTCGCTGAAGTTGCTTATCAGCTCAAGGAGTTTTGGGGCTGTGACGATGGGATTTTCTAAATATACAATCATGTCATCTGCAAACAGTGACAATTTGACTTCCTCTCTTCCTATTTCAATACTTTTATTTCTTTCTCTTGCCTGATTGCTCTGGCCGGAGCTTCCAATACTATGTCAAATAGGAGTGGTGAGAGAGGGCAGCCTTGTCTTTTGTAGGGTTTCAAAGGGAATGCTTCCAGCTTTTTCCCATTCAGTATGCTATTGGATGTGGGTTTGTCACAAGAAGCTCTTATTATTTTGATAAAAATTCCATCAATACCTAGTTTATTGAGTGTTTTTACAATGAAGAGATGTTGAATTTTGGCAAAGGCCTTTTCTGTACTATTGAAATAATCATGTGTTTTTTGTCATTGGTTCTGTTTATGTAATTGATTACATTTATTGATATGTGTATGTTGAACCAGCCTTGCATCCCAGGGATGAAGCTGACTTGATTGTGGTGGATAAACTGTTTAATGTGCTGCTAGATTCGTATTGTCAGTATTTTATTGAGGATTTTCGCATCAATGGTCATCAGGAATATTGGCCTGATATTTTCTTTTTTTTTTTTTATGTCTTTGCCAGGTTTTGGTATCAGGATGGTGCTGGCCTCATAAAATGAGTTAGAGAGGAGTCCCTCTTTTTGTATTGTTTGAAATCATTTTAGAAGGAATGGTACCTGCTCCTCTTTGTACCTCTAGTGGAACGTAGAATTTGTCTGTAAATCTGTCTGGTCCTGGGATTTTTTTTTTTTGGTTGGTTGGTAGGCTATTAATTACTGCCTCAATTTCAGAACTTGTTATTGTTCTATTCAGGGATTTGACGTCTTCTGGTTCAGTTCTGGGAGGGTGTTTGTATCCAGAAATTTTTCCATTTCTTCTAGATTTTCTAGTTTATTTACGTAGAGGTGTTTATAGTATTCTCTGATGGTAGTTTGTATTTCTGTGGAATCAGTGGTGATATCTGCTTTATCATTTTTTATTGTGTCTATTTGATTCTTCTCTCTTTTATTCTTCATTAGTCTGGTTAATGGTTTATCTATTTTGTTAATCTTTTTAGAAAAAACAGCTCTTGGATTCACTGATTTTTTAAGGGTTTTTTTGTGTCTCTCACTCCTTCAGTTCTGCTCTAATCTTAGTTATTTATTGTCTTCTGCTAGCTTTTGAATTTGTTTGCTCTTGCTTCTGTAGTTCTTTTCATTGTGATGTTAGGGTATTGATTTTATATCTTTCCCACTTTCTCTGTATCAGAGTAATATATTTATTAACAAGTCTTCTTAAGGTGAGGAATTGAATTTTGTGTAGGCAGTTTTCACAGTTCAGTAGTAATATGAAAAGAAGTCTGTAGCTTTAATTTAGTAGTAACAGGTAGAGCCTGCTTTCGGCTTTACATTCCTGATCCTTTTAGATATTTAATAAAAATGCAATACCTATATGTTTTGCATGATGAACTATAATTATGATATGTGCTATAAAATCAGTGTCTTCATTTTCATCAACTGTTTTTAAATCATGTAATCTGTATAATTTTGTATTTTTGTTCCTGTTTATGTGGCTACTTTGATGTATATATCTTAAAATGTCATCTTTACCTTTACTTTCTTTTTCAGATATTTCAGTTTTCTTCTTCCCTAGGGGGGAAAGAAAAAAAAAAAAAAGAAATCATCATTTTAAAAAACATGACCTTCTTCCTCCTCCTTTTCCTCCTCCTATTTCTTTTTTTCCTCCTCCTATTCCTCTTCTTCATTTTTTGAGACAGAGTCTTTCTATATACCCTCAAATTCCTGGGCTCAAGGGATCCTCCCTCCTCACCCTCCTGAGTAGCTCGGTTTACTTACAGGTATGACCCTCTTGCCCACCTCCTCCCCTTTTCTTTTATGCTTTGAAGGGAGAAGCTAGAATAAGCCATGCCTTTGTTAAAAGTTTAAACTAGAAACAACAGGAAAAACAACTACATGTTAAATTTTTACCTTTAGGAAATAAGAATTTGCCTGACATGATGGATTCATAAGTAAACTAATGAATTAAAGCAATAAAAATGTAACATAATATTTCTAAGCAAAATATGGATCCAGTTTTCAAAGCAGTCTTGGTAAATTGATAATTTTCTTGCTACACCTTTTAGACAAAAGTGAGAAGAAAAACAATATTTAATCGGTGACTTATAAGTTTGTATGTGGTAAAAATGGACATATTGCATCATTTACTCCTTATAACAAGGGAAGTAAGGAAGGGAAGGGAATGTTATTATTTGAAATTATTTGTGATACAAGGGAATATTTCTGTGAACAGATTCTGGAGGAGCTAAGGGATTTTCTAAATGTTGCACAGCTAGAAATTTAAATTTACATACCGTTTCAACAACTCTATCTTATCTCCTCTGAAAAAGTAAATATTTACCTGATTCTGTGACTTCTGATGTTGCTCCTTTAAAAAAAAATGTAGAAATAAAGGGAAAAAAAATAAAAGAAAAAGTATAGGTTTTTATTCAGTAGCAGACAATTGAAACTTATCTTCTGATATTTCCTCCCAAATTACAATAGGCACATATACTCAAAATGGCAAGAAAATGTACTAATGCTTAATATTTCTGATAACTGTAACTAGACATCTATTTTAAAAATAGAACAAATATTCAATTAATCTAAAATGGTGTATTTAAATATTATAGAATTGGTTAGATAGAATAAATAAAATCTAGTACTTGATAGAACAACAGGATGATTAGAGTCGACAATAATTTAGTGTGCATTTTAAAATAACTAAAATATTAGAATGTTTGTAACACAAAAAATATGATAAATGCTAATGTGATGGATACCCCATTTACTTGCCTATATAAAAATATTTCATGTACCCATAAATACATCAACTTCTAAGTATCTATCAAGTTAAAAATAAAATAAAATGAAATATAAAAAGTTGAAAAACATACATGATATAATTAATGAATTCTAAATTCTATGGCTCGTTTTCTTAATTACAAATTATAAATCTGTTACATAAATTTTTAATCTTCATTGATGTATTCAAATATTCATTCATATAATATTTATTAAAGCAGCTTCATTTATAAGATGCTGTTAGAAATGCAGTTGAGTGTGGTCATGGGATGAGATTAAAAGTATAACAAAAACAAACTCAGTTCATGTTGATTACAGTCTGATAAGTGATAGAAGACATAAAATTATATTTGCCTTTTGCCTATGCTCATACAGAACCATGCTTTCTTCTTGTTCCTTCAGTAAATTTACAGATTAATATTTCTAAGTATAACCTGGCAAGTGTTTTTTTAAAAAACTTTGTATCACAAATAATTTCAAATAATAACATTTCCAGAAAATAAAAATTCTCTGATAGTTTAAGAAATATCTCTCGTAAAATGTCAATGTTTTCTATAAATGTGATATCAGTTTTATCAGTCTTACATAACTATTTTGGGTAGCTATTTTCAAAATTCAAAAAAAAATATTTTTAAACAGTGAAGGTATACAATACATAATATTACATAAACATATAGTATTTTTAAATGGCTTTATAATGATGTTTCATATTAGCATTCTAGTTTTGGTTTTCAACCCTTAATTTTGGTACCAGTATTCACATTAGTAGCAATAATACAAACTATACTAGAGAATTTCTCCAGCCTCAAGGCTGTACTTAATGTTTAAAATTGGCATTGAATCCATTATGAAGTAAACTGTAGCTGCATTATTAAGGAATCTGTCATGTGTTGTCCAGAAGACAGGTTAGTTCTGGATATCAAAACATATAAATACAACATCCAGATACACTTTGGATTGAAGTACTCAATTTTTAATCCAGGTTACAGTCTGAGTATTCTAATCGGATTAAATAAACAGTTTTATTGTTTACTATGGCATTTTTATTATTGATTAAAACGTCCAGGAAACCCCAGTGATTTTGAATTACAAAATAAAATGTACCTCAGGGCTTTAAAAAAATTAGAAAATAAAAAGCTAATGTGTTAAAATTAAATAAATTGAGGACATATGTGCTCTTAATTTTTCTTAACCCACATAATAACTGTTAAAGGGTTCTTCATACTGTGTTTATTCAATACGTCTAAACAAACAATTGAAAGTAGACAAGAGAGAGATACAATTACTGGGTTTTTTTTATTGTTGTTTTGTTTTGTTTTGTTTGCACAGGTATTAATTATCATGGTGAATGTGTTAGCAAACCAGGTACATCAACAGAAAACAAGATAAGCATTCCCTCATACGTCCTGGTCCAGTGTCATATACCTAATATGTGCTCAATAAATACATGTTCAAGGATTAATAAGTGGAATACAAGCATACTCATTTTATTGTGCTTCACTTAATTGCAATTCTCAGGTATCACATTTTTTACAAGTTAAAAGTTTGTGGCAACCCCATATGATTAAGCCTATTCGTGTAATTTTTCCAATGGTGTTTGCTTCCTTCTCATTTCCGTGTCTCATTTTGGTGATTCTCACAATATTTCAAATTTTTCATTATTATTATATCTGTTATGGTTGTCTGTGATCAGTGATTTTTGATGTTAGTATTGTAATTGTTTTGGTGTGCCACACACCACACCCATATAAGGTGGTAAAACTTAATGAATGTGTGTATTCAGACTGCCATTCACCAGTCCCTCTCACTTTCCTTTAGTCCTCTCTGTTTCCTGAGAGTCAATAGCTTTGAAATTAGACCAGTTAGGAACCTAAAATGGCCTCTTAAGTATTGACAAGAAAGAAAGACTTGCACATCACTCACTTTAAACCGAAAACTAGAAATGATTAAGTTTAGTGAGAAAGGCATGTTGAAAGCTGGGATAGGCTAAAAGTGAGGCCTCACGTACCAAAGAGTTAGCCAAGTTGTGAATGCAAAGAAAATGTTCCTGAAGGAAATTAAATGTTACTCCAGTGAAGACATAAATGGTAATAAAGGGAAACAGCCTTATTGCTGAGACAAAGAAAGTTTTAGTGGGCTGAATAGAAGATCAAAGCAGCTACAACCTTCCCTTAAGCCAAAACCTAATCTATAGCAAGGCCCTAACTCTCTTCAATTCTATGAAGGCTGAGAGACGTGAGGAAGCTGCAGAAGGTAAGTTGGAAGCTAGCAGAGGTTGGTTCATGGAATTTAAGGAATGAAGCCACCTGCATAACGTAAAAGTGCAAGGTGAAACAGCAAATGCTGATTTAGAAGCTGCAGAAAGTTATCCAGATCTAGCTAAGATAATTGACCAAGGTGGCTTCAATAAACAATAAGCTTTCAAGGTAGACAAAATAGCCTTCTAGGGAAGATCACTTGAGCCCAGGAATTTGAGGCTGTAGTGAGCTATGATCCCCCACTGTACTCCAACCTGGTGACAGAGTGAGACCCTCTCTTTAAAAGAACAACAACTTAACAAATAGCCTTTTATTGAAAGAAAATGTCACCTAGAATTTTCACAGCTAGAGAGAAAAGTCAGTATCTGACTTCAAATCTTCAAAAGACAGACTGACTCTCTTGTTGGAGGTTAATGAAGCTGGTGACTTGAAGTTGAAGCCAATGCTTATTGACCATTCTGAAAATTCTAGGTCCTTTAAGAATTATGCTAAATCTACTCTGCCTATGGTCTATCACTGGAATAACAAAATCTAGATGACAGCACATCCGTTTACAGAATGATTTATGGACAGTTTTAAGCCCATTGTTGAGACCTAATGCTAAGAAAAAAGATTCCTTTCAAATATTATGGCTCATTGACAATTCACCTGGTCAATCAAGAGCTCTAATGGAGCTGTACAAGGAGATTAATATTGTTTTCATGCCTGTGAACACAACATCCGTTCTGTAGCCCATGGGACCAAGGAGTAATTTTGACATTCAAGTCTTATTACTTAATAAATACATTTCATATGGCTGTAGGTGTCATATATAGTGAGTCATCTAATGAATCTGTGCAAAGTAAATTGAAAGTCTTCTGGAAAGGAATCACCTCTCTAGATGCCATTAAGAACATTTTTGACTCATGAGAGGGAGTCCAAATGTCAGTACCAATAGCAGTTTGAAAGAAATTGATTCCAACTCTTATGAATGACTTTGAGAGGTTCAAGGATTCAGTAGAAGAAGTAACTGCAGATGTGGTGGAAGCAACAAAAGAATTACAAGTGGTGACTGAATTGCTTCAATTTCATGATCAAACTTGAACAGATGAGGAGTTATTTCTCATGGATGAGAAAAGAAAGTTGATACTTGGGATGGAAACTACTCCTGGTGAAGATGTTGTGAACATCGTCAAAATCACAACAAAGGATTTAGAATATTCCATAAACTTAGCTGATAAAGCAGAAGCCAAGGTTGAGATAATTGACTCCAATTTTGAAAGAAGTTCTACTGTGAGTAAAATACTGTCAAATACCCATACGAACTACAGAGAAATCTTTTGTGAAAGAGTCAATGTGCCAAACTTTATTGTTGTCTTATTTTCAGAAATTACCACAACTACCCTAACCTTCAGAAGCCACCACCTTCATCAGTCAGCACCCATCAACATCGAGACAATACCTTTCACCACTAAAAGTATTACAACTTGCTGAAGGTTCAGATGATCACTAACATTATAAGCAGCAAAATACTTTTAAATTAAGCTATGTACATTTTTTAGTCATAATCCTCTTGCACACTTAATAGACTATAGTGTAAACATAACTTTTCTGTGCACTGAGAAAACTAAAAATTGTGTGATTTATTGTGGTGGTCTGAATGAAACCTGCAATATCCCTGAGTTATGCCAGTACAATGACATCTAATTTTCCTTGAATTGCATTTTTTGAGTAACTAAACATCTCTTCATGTGCTTATTGGTCTATGGCTTCTTGCTCTCCCCATTTTCCTTTGGTTGTGCTTTTTGTCTCCAAGGTATGCCTGTACACACAATATCCTTTGTCAACCAGACTCACTTATATGATAATAGTATAATGGCTATTACATTAACAAACACACCATACATTTTAAACTTCATACATAACTCAAAGAAATTGTGAAATTAAGACAATGAAATAGGACATTCTTAAAATTCTAAAATGGTACACTTACTTGGAGTTGGTTTTGGTTTGTCTAAAAAGGAAAAAATAACAAAAGAAAATCAGTGATAATTTTCTATCTATGGGCGATATATCAGCCCTTTATATTTCCTATTTTTGCTTTTTACAGTAAAAATAAGACTAAATATAACAACAATGAACAGTAGGGAATGCATTTTTAGTAATTTTTAAATCATTCTCCCAATGAGTTTCCCACAGAACAGTAAAGCCTGAAAGTGTGGAATCTTTCTTGGTCTCTTTTTTTATTCCTGTAAATCTCATATTTGATTTGATACAATATTAATGAATGCTCACAAAAATCTCAACTTCTTACTGTTTCTGAAATGACATAAAATACATATTCTACCACAGTCCTTTTAGAATACATATTAATATTAATTTATACTCACAATATTAATTATTAATGTTAATTTATACCAACTCTCCCAATCCAGTATGTTGAACAATAAGGCTCTTTTATAAAATCTCAAGAATGAATCGGTGGTAGGTAAAAAAAATCATAAAGACATTCTATTTTTTTCCAATATAACACGTGTTCTAATATATATATATATATATGTGTGTGTGTGTGTGTGTATATATATATATATATATATTTTTTTTTTTTTTTTTTTTTTTGAGACGGAGTCTCGCTCTGTCACCCAGGCTGGAGTTCAGTGGCACCATCTCGGCTCACTGCAAGCTCCGCCTCCCGGGTTCACGCCATTCTCCTGCCTCAGCCTCCCGAGTAGCTGGGACTACAGGCGCCCGCCACCTCGCCCGGCTAGTTTTTTGTATTTTTTAGTAGAGGCGGGGTTTCACCGTGTTAGCCAGGATGGTCTTGATCTCCTGACCTCGTGATCCGCCCGTCTCGGCCTCCCAAAGTGCTGGGATTACAGGCTTGAGCCACCGCGCCTGGCCTAAAATATATTAACTAAAAGCATTAACTGTGTCATCTTATATCTAAAGTTCTATTTCTTCATAAAAAGTAGAAAAGATTTAGCTATGATTGCAGTTTTGAATCATCTAAAATTAAGTCAAATAACTAGTATGTTAACTGTTAATGGAGGGAATACAAATTGATACATTTTTGTAGAAAGCAATTAGGAATATCTATACAAATTACATTTAATATACCCTATTACTAAAAAAAATTCTACTTTAAAGAATTTTTCCCATAAAAATAAAAAAACTAGACATATTGTTAAATTAAGGGAGATCTTTAAAACAACTTTAACATATGTCAGTTAGAGTCTAATTAAGTAAACTATGTACAAATACACAATAAAATAGTGTTTTTATAAAATATTTTATGTGCTGATATAAAAAAAGCTTCAAGATATATTCTGATATAGAAAAAGCTAGTGACAGGATAATTTATAACATGTCAATATTTGTGTAAGAAAAACAAGAGGCATATATATATATATATATTTGTACAGGTAGATAGATAATGCTAGAAGGATACATTAAGAAATAACAGTGATTACCTATGGAAATTATCAGATATTTTTGAAATGAGAACTGGTAGAATTTAAAAAAAGAGAGAGAGATTTTTGCAGTTAACTTCCTATGTGCCTCAGTGTTTGAACCATATGAAGTGTTACATATTATAAAAACTGAATGACATTTTAAAAGAATTAAGCTAACTTTTAGAATAGGGTAACTTCTCTTTTAAGAGGATATATCAAGCTGAAATTCACAATTTGTGAAATTTAACCTATGTAATTTCATAGGATATTTTAAAATTATCAACAGTTAATCAACTTCATTAGTATGATAAATTATATTAATATTGACAACAGTGAAATATTGAATATTTTGGAAGGACCTTGTGAATCATGAAAGCAAATCTAATTTGTTAATTTTACTTATCATAATTGCATATTTGGCAATCCATGTTTGATTGACAACAATATTGCCCTTAGGTCAGATAAACTAGATTATACTACAAAACCACAGGACCACACATTACCAGGAAACACAGTGAAAATCACTTGTATGCATTACTTTAATTTTTGAATATAATAAAAACAGTGAACCTAAGACAGAATATAAACCAAAAATGGTAAAACACCTGTTTTTATAGACGGAGGTTCTCTTTCTTGATGTTCAGCTTTTTCTAGAGAAAGAAATCAAATTTCACTGGCAATCTGTGGATTCTTCAGCAAATATTTCTTATTTACATATTTGCAAATGATCCGCAGTTTACCCAAGAGGCATGCCCCAAAGTCGTTTTCATGTAATTTGAAACAAAGAAAGCATATTGCCATAAAAACACATTATAAACAGGGTTAGGTTAGGTTCATTCTCTGGACACCCAGGAAAAGACATTTTTCTACATTTGGCTGAATGACAGTATTAGGGTTTTACCTCTTTGGGGGCTGTGTTGAATAAGAGGATAGAATATGGCAAAGAGGAGAATAAGAATACTGTTTCATTTGCTGAAAGTTGAGTCATTCTTTGGGGACATTTTTAGTGGATGGTATTTGTCTTTGGCATTTTACCAATTCCTCTTTTTTCCTCTCTGAATCCTAGCTACCTTCTTGCCAGTAAGAAGCAATGCACTGCTGAACAGTAGTTTCTTATTGAAAATTTAAACTATATCCGTTGCATTCCAGAGAGTAACACATTTTGTATTTTTATTGACCTGTACCACCCTCCCTTTCCAGGTTTTCTTAAAACTCCCATAGCTGAATCTCAACTATTCTAGGATACGACAAAATGAAATAAAAATGTATGAATAATAGACATCCCTCTTAGTTCTCTGAAAAATATTTGAATTGAAAATTTTAAAGAGATCATTCTCTTTCATCAAAAGTAGAATTTAAAGTCAACCATACAGGTGGAATATCTTGAATGCGATTGAGAATATCTGTCAATTGAGTAGGACTCCGGAACAGACCAAGTATTACCTCTAATGACCTCTAGGATCAGTTCTTCTGAGCTGTTCTTGATGTTTACTTGTCCTTTCTTTCCCTCACTCCTGAATTTGGAGTTTCTCTAAAATTACTATTTTTCCCCCAAATCATGCACAAATAGTGAAGTAGGTGGGAAGATGTGGGACCCCAGGTGTCATCAGATTAAACAGATATTTGTAAATTAGGAACTGATACCATTCAAGAATAAACTTCCATGAACTGAATTTGCATAAATGTTATAGTAAATAAGCATTCAAAATAAAAGAAAATGCAGAAGCCAAAATTCAAGGTATTAAACTGTTATAACAACATTAAAAATAAATCAAGGGAACAATAATAATATAAAACATATATTCAAAATACAATTCACAGGTTCTAGGATGTGAATATATTCTGATTACAGCCATGCATTTGTGCTATATATCCTAAACCATGTTTATGTATTCCTAAGCTGTGTCACACATTTACCTTTGGGCCTTGTGAAGTTATTTTGCATGCAAGAGCCAGAATATATTTGATCAAAAGCCATTCATGCATTTGTCTAAGCTTATGTTCCACAAATGTACACCATTCAACGATTAACATCACAATTTTGACACAATATTGAATATATTTACTACCACAGTGGGTAAATATTTATGTCTTTCTGAGTCCAAAAGCCATCTTTAAACTCTCCATCACTATACTCTCTGTGTCACACTTGTACAGTGAAACGAAGGATCTTCAAAGTCCACATGTCCATAATTATAATGGACAAATGGCAAAATGTTTATAAATTAAATGGATTTCTAAATGCCAAAGTTTACCTACAGTTTAATTAATGTAGCTTAAAGCAAACAAATTAAAAACAGTATATAGTTCACAACACTGACAACTGTATAACATTTCATTTTCTTTTGTTATTCATTAACGTGTGATTAAAAGATTTCCCACCTACCTTAACTTACTGTGAGTGGTATTTCATAGCCCATATGGATTCCCTCTTTTAATAAACAATAGTGACACACTTTTTCTTTTATATAGTTATAGTCATTAATTAGTAGTGAAACACAAGAATGTTAAATCAATGCCATAGCAATAACATTAATTTATCACGAATAACAATTACATAGCAATCACATTAATTTATCATTAATAGTTATTTAGCCACAGGCAACACTGAAAATAACATTTTTCTTTAAAAAAAAAACTAAGCAAATTGCTAAAGCTGAAATGGTCAAGCAATATTTCTCAGGTGTTATTCTATTCATCTCTTACTTGCTGGCTTGGGCTTGGCTGTGGAGAATGGAGGGAAGCACATGGCATATTGATGAGTACAAACCATGGAAAAACTAACTTTAGTGTTTGTATTTACTTATTCTTAGCTTTAGGTCCCCTTCTTAGCTTAAGCTTAACCTGTTTTCTTTGACCACTAATATTTTACTGTCAGCAAATACATTAATTCAACTGCAAAAAACTAGTAAGACACATGGTATACACATAAAATTTAAAACAATCTATATATTTGAGTCACAAATACATTGAGCTAGCTTCTTCATAATTCCCAAACATCCATACAACTGAATAAGATACTCAGGTGGTCATATTAATACCTCAGGGTACAAATTAAGGGAACATTTACTAAAATTATAAACTTAGGCAGTGGTTGGAATAAAGTACAATGGTCATATAAAGTAATGTGAAAACGGCCTCATGAGATTCTTTCTTTCTGCTGATAAACGTCTATAATTTCTATAAATAATTAGATATCTCCTGAATTCTATTATATTTTTTTTCCTCCAAGAAACTATTTAAATCCTTATTATGTGATTATCTCAGGAGAAAAAAAATGTTTCACAGAGTTTTTCTTTTGGAATGATTATTAGTAAGAGATGAGGTTCTCTTCATGGCTGAGGTGGGTAGGATTTCTGTCTTGGAATCAAATAGAGGAAGTTTAGTCACTCAAATGTGAATTGATTTCAAGACTCATAAGTTTTCTTTTTCCTTACAGGAAAAACTTCTGAAATGCAAGAGTATGTATCTTTTCTTTTTCATACGAACTAATGAGACACGGAGTGTTTTCAGTTTAACATTTTATGTTCTGTTGATCATTCTTTAAGGCAGACTTTAAAGTTATATAACCATATCCCTCTCTATGGAGCTTTCATGAAAGTAAATTATTCCAGCTAATTTATAAATAGCAGAAAGTTCCAGACTTCTGTTAAGATTTGAGGAAATGTGGTTTAAAAATAAGATTAAACATCTAAGTATATATGATAATCAATGCATTATATAGATTTTCCCATGAATTACACATAAGCTTAGGTCAATCACACTTAAAGTTATGCTACTCTAGTTATTATTTTTTAATAAAAATTATATTGAACACATTTTTAGTCATTCACAATAATTCAGAATGTTAGAAATTATGGTACTAAAAGCCTGCACACTTCATTGAAGGGGGGTGTGTGTGTGTGTCTGCATGCACACATATGCGTGCACCACATAGCATATAATAAGACGTAAAAAAAGATATAAAATACCTTATTTACCTGTTTTTTCTATTGTGACAGCTTTTACCTGCTTGAGAAGTTTTTCTTCTGTGATAGGAAAAAACATTAACACAAGTAGGGAATTTGAATACATCAGTGACATATTTCAACCATGATTTTTGTATTCTTTTTGAAATAGTGCCAATGCCAAGGAAAACTTGTTGCCTCAATAAAACAAGCAAATAATATCTTCTATTCAAATTGGATGAAAGCACAAAGAAAATCTGTCCAGCTGAAATGTCCTTTGCAGCTATCTTGCTATAGAAGTTTTCCTAACTTAAATTGTTCCCTAACGTGCCAATATGAACCCTATTTTTCGCCTTCACTGTATTTCAGTGTGTTTATCTGCCCATAGGTACTGCTTTATAAAATACATGTTCCCTTTCTATTATTAAATTAGAATAGGAAGAAGCAATTTTTGATCTTCTTGTGCCTATACTTCCCTGGGAACCCAGGAATAGGTGGAGAACCCAAATTTCTTACAGTGTGAAGCTGGGGAAGAACAAAGTTGATACATTTGCTGGATGTCCTCTGTTCTCAGTGATTTTTCATAGTCAAAGATGTTTGCGTCAAAGTGAAGAAATTATTGCCCTGATACTACATGAAATTAAACTTCTCAAGCATTTCGCACTGGGTATGAATTGACTGATCAAATATCCTAAGAAGAAATTTTCACTGGATAACAGAATTTAAAGACCATGATGGTGTAACTGAAGTAAAAGAGTCGTTCCTACGAGACAATGCGTTTGATGTATGCTCAGAGACTAAAGTCTGTCACTTCTCTTTATTTCACCTCAAATTGACTAATATTTGGGACATAAGAAAATAACAGTGTTTCATTTAATGATAAGCTTCTAAAAGTTGTTTCTAACGTTCTGCTTTTGTCAATACAGACAGCTCTTCTCACCTCTCCACACTCCAGCACTGCTTTCTTTATTCCTATATATTCTGTCGTTGATGTCTAATAGTTTTTTTCATAGCATATGGAAAACAAATCAAACAGACTAAAACCCATTGTGTACAGATTTTTTAAAGTACAATTTATAAAAGTAAGCAAAGGATTTCCTAAGATTTGCTTAGAGAAAGTATGTTTTTCACTTTTCAAAGATTCTGGCCTAACTATATTCACAACATTGGGTACATAATTCAGCCTGGAATGAAAAATAATATTCTACAGAATAATTGGGGCTTGGGTGGCCTCAAAATTAAATTCATATTTAATTAGCTGAAATAAAAACTTGTTTCTATTCTTAAATAAAAATTAATTCATAACCTTGTTTTGATAAATTATGTATCTTTTTTTTACAAGCAGAACAAATTAGCTTACTTCTACTTTCTACAAAATGCAAGACCAGGAATAAAAAGAAAAGAAGAAAGGGAAGGAAGGGTGAAGAAAAGAAAGAGTCAGGAGAAGAAGCAGGGAGAAATGTTGATTTCTTCAGCATTTTTGGGACTTGGAGAGTCTAAAATGATCGTATTTGAATAAGCCAATCTGAATTACAAGTTTGGTCAGAATGCCGTGCCCAAATCAGAATAAAACAGCAAGTATAGAGCCCATTCATCTAAGTGCTGGGTGACTATGGTTTTTGTACAAAGCTAACTCTCTGGTGGGAAGGGAAGAGTAGTTGTCCAGTTACATCTCACTGGTTAAGTTCTTCGTACAAAAAAAAAAAAAAATTCTGAAGATGACTAAAATTGGAGATGGTCTAGAAGCTGATGACTTAAGACATGAATTGTCCCAAATAACTTTAAACTTGCCTCTAAACTCTTACTTCTGCTAAAATTAAACCATTGAGAGATAATTTGAGACTACAAATACCACCTGCAAAATACCTGGTTTACCATGAGAAACAGTCTTTTCTGGTTTCACTATGTCTTGTTCTGAAAATAATAAAAAGAAAATCTTTTTAGGTATTTGGAAGCTGGGAAAATAACTAGCAGATGTTAGCAAATGTGCCCACAGAGAAAAATATTCTGAAACCTTCATATCATCCTTGTTTCTATGTAAAACTTGAAGGTTTTACTTCATGAAAACAATATGCCAAGAATTCTTATTTACAAAATTTTTGAAACTATAGTTTTCAAGGCATAGGCTGTAATAAAGCACGAATATAAAAGTACAGATTAAAAATACATGATTTTGAAAACATTTCAAAATTTTTTGTAAAAAACTCTATATAAGCATAAAAGATAAAATTAATATACATACTGTGTATTTGAACTTTTTCAGATACAGCTAAAAAGAATAAATAAATAACATATTAGATTAAATTACCTGCAAAATGGAGTATTTAACAACAACAAATATAATTGGTTATTGTAAATAGAACTAGGCATAACTAGTTTTAAATAGCATTGGGTTTCTGGTTAAAGTAAAACTGGCAAACATACAAAATGCTTTTATCTGGTAAAACATACCCACCTACAGCAAATAAATATAATCAGGAAAATAATAAAATATAATAAATCATAATAATATTTGTAATGTAACAAGGTTGCTATGAGCCTTGATATATTATAAATATATCACAAGAGCAACTATATCCAAGCTTATAATCAGCTGCCAGGTAAGTTCTGGTGAGAATTCAGGGGCTGAGGTACTATTGAATATATATCTAGATTTTGATTCTTGATTTGTTGATATTGAAGAATCTTGCTAAGTAACCTTTTATAATGAAGAAATAGCTACTATAGAGCCTGAGGGTTTTTTTGAACTTGCCTCAGGTCAATAGCTAGTTGGTACCAGAGGTACGACTTAAACGCTAAATAACAATACAGACTTGGAAAGGTCACCCTTTTTTTTAGATCAACCTTCTAATAAAATGATAACATTTTAGGGACAATCTCTTAATGGGAGCACCCAGGGTTTGGTGCAAATCAGACGTGGGGCACACCCCTAGTTTCAAAATTGATTAACTTGAAAATCCTGGAATAATAACTTATTTTCTGAACTTGATCTATTGAACTGCTTCTTCAGATATTGAGTATAGATAATAATTGCCATGCTGTCTGTTTCTCATAATGATATGATGAAAGTAAAGATCCTATGCTAGTCCTTAGCTCACAATAGATGCTTAATAAATTCTTGCTCTCGTTCCCTTCAAACCACAATAGTCTATAACTTTGTGATTTTATGATTCTGGTATATTACTGGAAATAATTCAGAATTATGAAAACAAAGCCACCAGAATTATGGGAATAAAGCCATAAGTTAAACATGATTATTATTAATTTCATAAAAACCTTAGAAATGTCTAAAGAAACCTGGAGTCTCGGTTGAGATTTATTTAAGGCCATTTTCTAGATGCTTTTGTCTAGGGAATATTTCCATTCTCACCTAATCCAGTACTATAAAATCATGTTGAGCAACGGAGTGGACAAAATAATGAGGAACTTGGAGACTCTGTGCATGTCTCCCTAGTGAGATGTAAGCCTCTTTTAGTACTTAATAAAATAAAGGTAATGTCAACTCTGAATCTACATAAAATAAAGCTCGTGTTACCTGGTTTTGCTTCTTTTTTAATTTGGGGCTCTGAGGGAGAGAAAAGGCAGAAAATTTAAAACCTGAAAACATAAACTAGAATACAAATTAATTTTTAGAAATAACTTTTTTGGTTATCATAATAGGCAGGAGAATTGCTTGAACCCAGGAGGCAGAGGTTTCAGTGAGCTGAGATCATGCCACTGCACTCCAGTTTAGGTGACAGAGTGAGACTCCATCTCAAAAAATATATATATATATATTAACTAAAATTTATTCCAGTTTTATGCTGGTTTGTCAATGATGGACTATTAAACACAAAAGAGAAACATGCTTTGCACTTGTCTGTCAAGTTGTTGGTATAGCTAATTCTTTTAAATCTAAATTTTCTACTTTTTTCTAAGATGATTGTTGCAGGAAATGGTTCCAAAGTCAACATAAGACAAATTATTTTAACAACAAGAGTTGGAAGAGACTCTTTGAAATAGCTCTAATTGGGTACTTAGGTGATTTAGCAATTTAGACATATAGTGTTATGGCTCAAATGTGTTCTCCCAAACAATCTGTTGAGTCCTGACCCCCAGTACCTCAGCATGTAACCTTATTTGGATAGAGTTGCTACCTACGTAATTAGTTAAGATAAGATGAGATCATGCTAGAGAAGGGTAGGTTCTTAATCCAATATGACTATTATCCTTATAAGAAGAGGAGAAGAGACACAAAGAGAGAGACACAAAGAGAGAAGATGACCATGCGATAATAGAGGCAGAGATTGAAGTCATATATCTTCACACCAAGAAACACCGAGGATTGCTAGAAAACACCAGAAGCTAGGAGAAGCAAAGAAATATTCTCCTCTATGGTTTAAAAGGAAGTGTTGCTTTGTCAACACCTTGATTTTTGACTTCTAACCTCCAAAATTGTAAAAGAGAAAAATTTCTATAGTTTTAAGCAACACAATTTGTGATATTTTATTGTAGCCATCTGAGGAAACTAGTCAAGTTTGGCTTAGGAACATAGGTGCTGCTGAAACAAATACCTACACATGTAAAAGTGGTTTTGAAATTGGGTAATGGGTAGAGGCTCGAAGAATTTTGAGACACTTAATATAGAAAGCCCAGGTTGTTTTTAAGAGACTATTGGCAGAAATATTGACATTAAAGGTTATTCTGATGAGGGCTCAGAAAGAATTCAAGACAGCCATAGAAAAAGCTCTTCTCATTTTAAATGATGCATTTCTGACTTAGTCCATTTTGTGCTGCTATAATAGAACATCACAGACTGGGTAATTTACATGGAACAGAAATATATTTCTTATACTTCTAGAGACTGTGAAGTTTGGGATTAAGGTATTAGCAGGTTTGGTCTCTGGTTCGAAGATGGTGCCTTGCTACTGTGTCCTCCAGAGAGAAGGAATGCTGTATCCTTACAGGGCAAAGGCAAAAGGGGAAGACAGCAGGCTAGTTGAACACCGCATGAAACCTCTTTTACAGGGGCCTTGTTCCCATTCACAAAGGAGGAGCTCTCATGACCTAATCACCTCTTCAAGGCTCCAGCTCTCAATACTATTTATTCTATTTATTACACAGATAACACTTAAATTTTGAGAAAACACATTCAAATCATATAGATGTATATTATTATAAGTAGAAGTAGAATGTCGCTAGATAAATGAATTTTAAAGATGAGGTCTCAAGAAAATGAGGAATATATTATTGGCCACTGAAGGAAAGGTAATATTTGTTATAAAGTAGCAGAAAACTTGGATAAATTGTGTTCTTCTGTTAGGTGGAAGGTGGAGATCGTAAGTGAATACTTAAAAATTTAGCTAAGAACATTTTCAAGCAAAGTATGGAAGGTGCAGACTCATTTCTCCTTGTGTTTATAATAAAATGTGAAAAGAAAGATACACATAAATTGAAGAAGAAAGTGTTAAGTAAGAACTGGCACTTACTGATTTGAAAAATTCTCAGCGTATCTAGACAGTGTGCCATGGAGATAGGGCCAAAGATGGCTGGACAAACTTTTGCTAAAGAGATTAGATGTATGACTCATGGAGCCACTTTGGCAGAAGACAGAAATAGAGATGTGGTTATCCAGGAAAGATCTGTGGAGGACCCTCTTATCTAATAGTTTAGATGCCCCATGAATTAATTGTGATACTAGTCAGGTTTTCGAGAATTTTAAAGAAGCAAAAACAATGCCAGCCTGGACAAAAGGGAAAGAGGCATGATAAAATGAAGGGATAATGACTCTAAGAGAAGAGCCATGAATTCAAATGCCTGGATTGATGGGACCTCCTGTGGCAGACAAGGCAGGGCTCTCGGGTTGCTGAGCTAAGGGGGCAGGGCCACTGTTCCACCAGGCTCAGAGTACAGAGCACTGAGGCAGAGAGAATATTCTCAGGCTTTGAAATATGCTAGGTTTTGGATTTGCTCTAGGACTCAGGACCTCTTTTTATTTTATTGTAATTTCTTCCCTTTAAAATAGGAATGTCCATCCTATACCTGTCTCATCATTTTATTTTGGGAATAAATAATTTGTTTCATGTTTTCACAGGTTTATAGAGAAGAGGAATTTTGCTGAAAGAAGAATCATACTCCAAGTTTCATATATACTGATTTAGATGTTTTAGATAATGAGATTTGGAACTCTTGATTGATATTTAGAAAAAATTTTGGACTTAGAACCATGCTAGAATGGTTACGACTTTTAGAAATGTTGGGATGGTGTGAACGTATTTTGCACCTCTGGAGGACATAAATTTTGGGCCAGCCAGAGAATGGACTGTTAGGGATTTAATTGCGTCTTTCCAAAAGGTATGCTTACATCCTAACCTCCACTACCTTAAAATATGACCTCATTTGTAAATAGGGTTATTGAAGATGTAATTAGTTAAGATGTTGTCATAGGGCAGTAGGGTGGATACTTAATCCAATATGGCTGGTGTACTTATTAGAGGAGAAGGGTTTGCAGAGATAGAGACACAAAAGGAGAAGGTTTCCAAGTGATGATGGAGGCAGAGATTAAAAGTGATGCTTCTACAAGCCAAGGAACATCAAGGGTTGCTGGAAAACACCAGAAGATGCAAGGAAGAATTCTTCTCTACAGATTTCATGGAAAGCAGGTCCCTTGTGACACCTTTATTTTGGACTGCTACCCTCCAGAACTATGAGAGAATAAATTTCTGTTGTTTTAAGCCACCCAGTTTGTGGAATTTTACTACAGTAGCCCTACAACAATAATACAATTATGAAACATTAAACAAAATTTTAACTGTGTTCAGAGCCAGACAGTTGAGTGTTCTTTTGAAAAAGTTTCTACTGCCCTACTGTAGCCTTCAGAAATGTGCATCTGACTGAAAAGCCTCAAAAGAGAGAAGGATGAGAACAGATGTTTTGCTGATTGAATGTCTGTGTCCTACAATATTCAGAGAAAATTTTGGTTTTGTGGGAGTCAATTCAATTAGCCAGTTACTTCTTCTGAACCATATAAATTTCTCAGAGATTTCACCTACGCAAATAGAGATTTTTCTAGAAGTGGGTAGCATAGAGAAATATATATTTTATTAGTTTTTTTAAGTTGATCAAGGATAAAATTTGATATAATATTTGTGCTAGGACATGACATTTGCAAAGAGATATTGTGCTATTTATTATAAACATAGAAAGCATATATGTCTATAAATAAAATATACATACCTGGCTTCTCTTCTTTTTTTCCTTGTAGTTCTAAAAATATAGATGAACATTAGTAAAAATGATTATAGAAAGATATTCATTTCCTGTATTCATGTATATTTATTTTTATATAATTATTTTCTATGTTATTCATTGGTTTCAATCTCATATTAACTTTGAAAAGTTAATGTCATATTAACTGCTTTCTTATGATTGTGGCAAACTAGTACATAACAACAAATTCCTCACTATTGATCCCAATAAGAAAAATTTCGAGGGCCAGGCATGGTGACTCATGCCTATAATTTTAGTACTTTGGGAGGTCAGCCAGGTTTGTTGGTGGGTGCCTGTAATCCCAGCTACTGGGGAGGCTGAGGCACAAGAATCACTTGAGCCTGGGAGGCAGAGGTTGCAGTAAGTGGAGATCGCACCACTGCCCACTGCCTGGGCAACAGAGTGAGAGTCTGTCTCAAAAAAAAAAAAAATTTTTTTTTGGAGAAAATAATGGAAATGTGAGCTGAGATTTTTAAGGACAAGGTGAGGAAAGATACTTCTAGTGAATAAAGGATGAAGGAAAATTTCAGCATAGCATTTTCTCAGAAATACACGGAAGAGAATGAGTACATTGTCTGCACAAAACAAGCCTTTGACTATAAGCAAAATATTCAACATGAAATCAAGATAAATAACAGCATGCATTTAAGATCTGTTTTATGTATGTGTCTACATATGTATGTATTTGTTTTTTGAGCATGCATATAACATACGTGGAGGTTTAGGCTTGACTTCTTTGCCTAGAAAAAAATTTTAAAAATTATTAAAGGCTGAGTCATATCATTCTTATTAAATTGACTTTATTGAATATGATATAATATTATATATTTGAAAATAAAAATCAAACAATATAGACTCCACCTATGCTTTTTTGTCAAAATTCTATAGAATGTGTAACTTATGACTAAATTCTTCAGTGCAAGATTGACAAACTTTTTCTGTAACAGTTAGATAGTATATATTTTCAGGTTTTAGGCCATATGGTCTCTCACAATTCTTTATTTGTGTGGATATAGAAGTAGCTATAGATAATAATGTAAATAAATATGAGTGACTGTGTTCCAATAAAACTTTATAAAAATTAGTGGCCAGTCTGTGGGCCATTTTGTTAGCCTCTGCTCTATTCATGGTCAGTTTTAATTTTCTGTCTTTTTTACATCAACAAATATTTGAATAGTCAACAATTTTCTCTGATTCTGTTTTTTTGCAAATGCCATCTAGTACCTGTCCATCACTGTTCAACTCAGCTTTTTAAGGTATATAATCTTTACTTGTTTTTTCTACTTCTCACTCCCAATTCATCATTAATTGACTATAATCTAGTTTCTAGCTCCACCATTCTATGTATTAGTCTTTCTGGTCACCAATTTTCTGTTACTTTCCAAGACTAATGAACACATTTGACCATATTGATCACTTTCCCTTTGCTTTTAAATTCTTGTTCACTTGACTTTTGGGAAAGGTAAACATAATATGTATGCTCTACTGTAATGGGATAAATATTAATACTGCCTTCTTTTAATTTCAAACCTATCCTAGTGACTTTTTCTTTTAGCAAAGATAACATAACAGAGGTCTAATTAGTCCTCATACTGGAAACTAAGGAAAACAGACAAAATATATAAAACAATGATTTTAAAGATATTGAACATCAGACAACAAAGAACAGTTATAATTTAGTGATGGGAAACAAATCAGATGTACCCTGTGATTGCTTCTGTTTAGTGCTTGGAGAAAGTTACAAGGCCTTAGTGCAGCAATGAGTTGCCTGGCAACTCAGCCTAGGCAAATTGCTGAACTTATAAGATGGAGTTGGGAGTCTGGAAAGGCCAAGACAGTTAGTGATCACAGGTCAGTGTAAGGTAGAGTATTAGAACACAAAATACGTGTGACAATTACTGCATAGTTTCTTTGACTTGGGTTGCAAATTTACCTCTCATCTTTCTGATATTCAGGCGAAAACAAAAAGCACAAATGTTAATTTACGATGTTCTTAAGATATAAATACTTACTTTGTTTAAGAGAAGCAGAGTAATCACTGGCAATGATAACTGAGATAAATTTGTTTCCTGGGTTCTCAGAACAAAAGGCTGTATAATGTAAATACCAGCCTCAGTAATATTTTTACCTTAATATGTAATGGTTTTTATAGAACTCCACCTATTGTTCTCAACATGCACCAGAGATGCTATACAAAACACAGTTCAATAAGAAAAAAGTCACTTTGAGCCCATTAAATGGGATTTAGGGACACAGCTATGTGTTCTGGCTAAATGTAAGGATAAAATCAAGGTTACAGAGATTCTCTCCAGTGGTATTGGAAAGGACAAATAGTCATATTTCTTTCTGAGAATCTAACACGTGTATTGACAGAAGCCTCTAAGAAACATGAATGGAAACACCAAAAAACCCTAAAACACACGTACAATTGTGTGAAAATATATATGTTCAGTTGTGCTCTTAAAGCCCAACTAGATTAAGATAACGTTGACTTAATAGTTCTGCTATTTATAAAACCAAGTTGTTATAAATACAGGACAACTGCCTATTCCCACAAAGCTGTCTAATTATAAAATTTGGGTTTCAAGTTAGTTGTCCACATGCCATGTCCTATATCAGCCTCATCAGCATTCACATAACATCTTTCTAGTTATTCTTTCTCTTTATACTATCTGTTAGAAGCTGACTTCTGTCTCCCAAAATATATGTGAAAGTCCAGACGCCCAGTACCTTATGAATGTGACCTTGTGTGGAAATAGAGTATTCGCAGTTATAATTAAACTAGGATGAGATCATTAGGCTGGGCCCTAATCCAATATGACTAGTGTTCTGATCAAAAGAGGAAAAGAGATACAGAGACGGACAAACATAGAGGGAATGTAATATGAAGACACACAGAGAGAACACCGCGTGACAACAGAGGCAGAGACTGGAGCATGGGAGTGATGCATCTACAGGCTCAGTTCCAGAATTTATATATGTATCAATAGTCAGAGGTCTACAATGAACCTAGGTCTATATAGTTTAGCGTGTTAACAATTCTAGCTCTGCAGTCATTATTGAATAATGTCAATAAAGGCTTTTACATAATCTGTTTTATACCAAATTTCTTCCTAAGATGATTGTTTAACAGTGATCAATGGTGAAATAATTTTATAATCTTTCTGATCCACATGTCTGTAAATAGATTTAACATATTTTAACAGATATTTGTCAAATTACTATATTAATTCATTCATAAATTTTCTGTCTTATATTTACATTAAACTTTATAACTACCTCTACAATGTAAGAGAAATATATCAAAAACCAATCAAAAGCGCCCTAAAGCCTACATATTATGTGGTTTAGAATTTTCATTTTAAAAGTAGAAAAAAGTAAACTTTCCAAATACATAATTTGGTTAATTATATCACAGAAACTGCTTTATTATTAGATCAAATGAGGAAATTAGTCCTGTTCCTCAACGGAGATTTATTATATTTTAATTTTGTCAAGACAATGTAGGTCATTATCATAAAATTTGACTTTTGTAAAATTTATAAGTGTAATATTATTTGGGGCATACAACACACATACAGGTCTTCACTGGAAAAATTTTTACTTAGATAATCTTACAAAGACTCATTAAATAAGTCCATTAAAGTTTAATACAAGATAATAATTTGATGTAAGAGCAGCAGGACCTTATAAATTTTATAATGCAAAATGAAAGCATTTTAAAACTTAAAAGATCCTAGAAATCATCTGGAATCACTTTTTTGATAAGCCACAAAACAAGTCTTTAAAAATTTCAGAAAACCGAAATGATAACAAGTACTCTTTCAGACCACAGTGGAATAAAATTGGAATTCACTTCTAAAAGGAACCTTCAAAACCATGAAAATACATGGAAATTAAATAACATGCTTCTGAATGATCATTGGGTCAACAATGAAATCAAGATGGACATTTAAAAATTCTTTGAACTCAATGATAATAGTGAAACCAGCTATTAAAAACTCTGTGAAACAGCGAAGGCAGTGATAAGAGGAAAGCTCATAGCCTTAAATGCCTACATCAGAAAGTCTGAAAGAGCACAAATAGACAATCTAAGGTCACACTTCAAGGAACTATAGAAACAAGAACAAACCAAACCCAAACCCAAACCCAGCAGAAGAAAATAAATAACCAACATCAGAACAGAACTAAGCGAAATTGAAACAAACAAAAAACATATAAAAGATAAATGAAACAAAAAGATGGTTCTTTGAAAAGATAAATAAGATTAACCAAGGAAAGAAGAGAGAAGATCCAAATAAGCTCAATTAGATACAAAATGGGAGATATTACAACTGACACCACAAAAATATGAAAGATTATTCAAGACTACTATGAACACCTTTAAACACATAAGCTAGAAAACCTAGATGAGATGAATAAATTCCTGGAAATATGCAACCCTCCTAGCTTAAATCAGGAAGAATTAGAAACCTCCAACAGATCAATAACAAGCAGCAGCGAGATTGAAATGGTAATAAAAAAATTACCAATGAAAAAAAAATTACAGGACCAGAAAGATTCACAGCAGAATTCTATCAGGCATTTAAAGGAGAATTGGTACTGATTCTGTTGACATAATTCCACAAGATAAAGAGGAAAGCCACCCTAAATCATTGTATGAAGCCAGCATCACCCCAATACAAACAAGAAAGGGACATAACAAAAAAAGAATACTACAGATCAATATTCCTGATGAACATAGATGCAAAAAATCCTTACTAAAATGCTAGCTAACCAAATCCAACAGCATATCAAAAAGATAATCCACCATGATCACGTGTGTTTCATACCAGGGATGCAGGGATGGTTTAACATATGCAAGTTAATAAATATGATATACCAAATAAACCGAATTAAAAGCAAAAATCACATGATCATCTGAATGGACACAGAAAAAGCATTTGACAAAAAGCAGCATCACTTTCTGATTAAAACCCTCAGCAAAATTGGCATACAATCCTAAATGTAACAAAAGCCATCTACCACAAACCCACAGCCAACGCAACACTGAATGGGAAAATGTTGAAAGCATTCCCTCTGAGAACTGGAATAGGACAAGGATGCCCACTCTCACCACTTCTTTTCGACATAGTACTGGAAATTCTAGCCAGATCAATCAAACAATATAAAGAAATAAAGGACATTCAAATTGGTAAAGAGGAAGTCAAACTGTCGCTGTTTGCCGATGATAAAATTGTACACCCAGAAAACCCTAAAGACTTCTCCCAGAAGCCCCTAGAACTGATAAATGAATTCAGCAAAGTTTGAGGAAACAAAATTAATGTACACAAATCAGTAGCTCTGCTATATACCAACAGTGATCAAGCTGAGAATGAAATCAAGAACTTAACCTCTTTTACAACAGCTGCAAAAAAGTTAATATACTTAGAAATACACCTAACCAAAGAAGTGAAAGACCTCTACAAGGAAAACTACAAAACACTGCTGAAAGCAATCATAGATGACACAAACGAATGGAAACACATCCTCATGGATGGATAGAATGAGTATTGTGAAAATGACCAGGGTCGAATCAACATGTGAAAATGATGACACTGCCAAAAGCAATCCACAAATTCAATTCAATTCCCATCAAAATACCATCGTTAGTTTTTACAGAACTAGAAAAAAATCCTAAAATTCATATGGAACCATAACAGAGCCACATAGCCAAAGCAAGACTAAGCAAAAAAAAAAAAAAAATCTGGAGGCATCACATTACATGATTTCAAGCTATATTATAAGACCATAATCACCAAAACAGTGTTGTACTGGTATAAAAATAGGCACAAAGACCAATGGAAAAGAACAGAGAACTCCAAACTAAAGCCATATACTTACAGTTTTGCTTTTGACAAAGCAAAGAAAAACATAAAGTGGGGAAAGGACACCCTATTCAACAAATGGTGCTGGGATAATTGGCAAACCACATGTAGGAGAATGAAACTGGATCCTCATTTCTTACCTTCTACAGAAATCAACTCAAGATGCATCAATGACTTAAATCTAAGACCTGAAACTAGAAGATAATATTAGAAAAACTCTTCTAGACATTGGTTTAGGAAAATAATTCATGACCAAGAATCCAAAAGCAAATGCAACAAAAACTAAGATAAATTGATGGGACTTAATTAAACCGAAGAAATTCTGCAGAGCAAAAGGAACAGTCAGCAGAGTAAGCAGACAACCTACAGAGTGGGAGAAAATCTTCACAATCTGTACATCTGACAAAGAAATAACATCCAGAATCTACGACGAACCCAAACAAATTAGCAAGAAAAATAAATCCCATCAAAAAGTGGGTTAAGGACATGAACAAATAACTCTCAAAAGAAGATATATAAATGGCCAGCGAAAATGTGAAAACATGCTCAACATCACTAATGATCAGGAAAATGCAAATGAAAACCACAATGTGATACCCCCTTACTCCTGCAAGAATGGCCTTAATCAAAAAATTAAAAAATAATAGATGTTGTCATGGCTGCAGTGAAAAGGGAACACTTCTACACTGCTGGTGGGAATGTAAGCTTTATAACCACTTTGGAAAACAGTGTGGAGATTTTTTTAAGAACTAAAAGTAGGACTACCATTTGATCCTTTAATTGCACCACTGGGTGTCTGTCCAGAGGAAAAGAAATCATTATACTTAAAGGATAATTCCACAGAAATGTTTATAGCAGTGCAATTCACAATTGCAAAACCATGGAATCACCCCAAATGCCCATCAGTCAATGAGTTGATGAAGAAATTGTGGTATAGGCTGGGCATAGTGGAATACTACTCAGACATAAAAAGGAACGAATTAATGACATTCATGGCAACCTGGATGGAACTGGAGACTATTATTCTAAATGAAGTAACTCAGGATTGGAAAGCCAAACATTGTATGTTCTCATTCATAAGTGAGAGCTAAGCTATGAGGATGCAATGGCATAAGAATGACACAATGCATTTTGGGGACCCAGTTGAAAAGGTTGGAGTGGGGTGAGGGATAAAAGACTACAAACTGGATTCAATGTATACTGCTCAGGTGATAAGTGCGCCCAGATCTCACAAATCACAACTGAAGAACTTATTCATGTAACCAAATACCACCTGTTCCCCAAAAACCTATGAAAAAATAAAATAAAATACGTAGGAATTAAAAAAAAAAAAAAACACAAACATCAGGTTTCACAAACTCTTCAGCATGTGAGGCAGTGTTGTGTGTCTGTGTTTTCTCACTAAGAAGTCCCTGTCAGTCTAAGTTCTAGTGCAATGGTCCTCAAAGTGTACTTTCCAGAGCAGCAGCAGCAGCAGCACCTGGAGAGTTGCTAGAAATGTAGCTCCTAAGACTCCATTCCAGACCTACCAAATCAGAAACTCTGGGGGTGGGGCCCAGCAATTTGTCATTTAATATCCTCAAAGGATTCTGATGACCACTTAGCTGTACAGATTATTCCCCTGAAGAGATAAAATCATCATTCACCCCATATAGTGCATAAAAGGATAATTTATTAGGATTTGTTAATCAACGGATAAGAAGCACAGAAAGAAGAGTGCAAAGAGGTCCTAATAATGAAATCTCACCATTAAAATATAAACATCTTTTAATTGTTTTACATGTCCAGTTTCATGAATTTATATATTCAGTTAAGAAGATACTGGACCCATTTCAAATCTGAAGACACTTTGCAGTTAAGCACATATCATATTAATGAATACAGTGTGTGTATATGTCTGTCTACCCATGGTCTAAGTCTATGTCCTCTCTAAGGTCTATATTTAGGTGGCAATAGTAAGCCCAAAAGTAGATTACTGGGGGATAATTCTGTAAGGCAGTGGTTCTCAAACAACAATATCACCTAAGAACTTATTAGAAATGTAAATTTAATCTTCCAGGTGTACCTGATGCATGTTGAAGTTTGAGAACCACTATTTGATAACCATAGTTGCTTTTTTTAAAAACAGCATTCATGTCACATAAAGCTATGGCTGTTTGTCACAATTCTGAGTCCCATCTAATTGTATATATTATGTTTCAGCAAATAAGGCTTAATTAGAGTCAAAGAGAAAGCTTTCGGTCTACTGAGACATCAGTAGGTAAACCTAAAAGCAGAGCATGTTTGTGTTGATCATGGTGTGTCAACTTTTCAATCTCAATGACAGTAATATTCAAATTAGACATTTGTGATTGAGGTCTATAAAAGATATGGTATGAAATCAAATTTATGTAAGAAAAAAATATTTTAACAAATAAAATCAAACAGTAGCCTTGATGTTCTCATGGAGGTAGTAATGGGCTCTATATGATAGAATATGTTTCAAATAGTAAGTAACAGTATAAAAGTATACACATACACCCATATATGTTTATTGTAATGATAGGAATTTTAGCCTTTTTTATTATAGTTACTATATTTTCTGTATTTTCCAAATTTCTTTAATTGCATTAAAAGCAAATAAAATGTCAATGACATGTTTCCCATTTTTACCCCTATTATGCATAGATTAATTTTAAAAATAAAAATATAAAGGCCATATTCAATGAATTAGCAAAGAATTAAAAGGGAAAAATTGAGAGTCAAAACTATCCTTAAATATCATACACATGAATAATAACAGTCATAGCAGTTTAAAATTATGGCTATAAAAATAGCTTATCTGCACTGTATTAATTAAATTTTGAAAGTAACATTTATTCAAAGTAATAAAATTTTGAACCATTATAATCAGAAGTTATTTATTGTGTAGTACACTGGGACAAGGAAGAGATAAGGGTTCTTAAGTCTTGGATTCTGGTTCTCACTTGGACACTCATTTGCTATGAAACCTTGTCATGGCCATTTAACCTGCTTGGTTCTTCTGTTTCCAAAAAAAAAAAAGAAAAAAAGAAATGAAGAAAGTTGAATTAGATGATATCAAAAATCTCATCTAGATATAAACTGATATATTTATGTTAAATTTTAATTTAAATATTCAATGCAATTTCTATCAAAGTTTCAATGTAATTTTCTACAAAATAGAAAAAAGAATGCTAAAATTTTTATAGAACCAGAAAAGTTTCCAAATAGCCAAAGCAATCTTGAGATAAAAGAACAAAGCTAGAGACATTACTCTCCCTGCTTTCAAAATATACTGTTAAGCTATTGTAATTAATACAGCATGGTACTGGCATAAACCAGATACATCAAGAAATGAAACAAGATAGAAAGACCAAAAATAAGCCCATGTATTTAGTTAATTGATTTTTGACAAAGGTTCCAAAAACACACAATAGGAAAAGAACTATCTCTTTAATAAGTGGTGTCAGGAAAACTGGATATTCACATGCAGGCAATGAAACTGGGCTCTTATTTCACAGTGTATACATAAAATCAACTCAAAATTATAGAAGACTTAAGATAAGACCTGAAATTATAAAGCTACTGAAATAAAACACAGAGGAAGAACTCCACTGTTCAAAGGAGTTATTTCTCGGATAGGACTCCAAAAGTACAGGGAACAAAATAAAAAATAGACTAATGGGATTGTGTGAAACTAAAAAGATTCTGCACAGCAAATGGAACAATAAAAATGAAGAGACAACCTATGGAATGGTAGGTAACATTGACAAATCATACTTCTGATAAAGGACTAAAAACAAAGAGATTTGAGGAACTCGAACATCTCAATAACAGAAAACAACCTTATTTTAAAATGGGCAAAGCATGTGAACAGACATTTCTCAAAAGCAAATATACGAATGGCCAACAGATATGTGAAAAGATGCTTGACATTTCTAATCATGTAGGAAATGTAAATTAAACTACAATAAGATAACACCTCACACCTGTTTGAATGAGTATTATCAAAAAGATGAATGATAAGTGTTGATGAGAATGAGGAGAAAAGGAATCTTGTACACTGTTGGTGAAAACATAAATTAGTACAGGCACTTAGGAAAATAGCATGAAGGCTCCTCAAAAAACTAGAATTACCATATTCAGCAATTTTCAGCTAGTTTTCAGCAATTTCACTTCTGTTATATCCAAAGGAATTGAAATCAGGATGTTGGAGAGATATATGAACTCCCATGTTCATTTCAGCATTATTCACAGTAGGCAAGATACTAAGTGTCCATCAACAAATATATGTATTTAAAAATGTGGTGTGTGTGTGTATATATATACACATATAGTGTGTATATATAAACTATATGTTATATATTATATATAATATATATACACAGACATACACAAAATAGGATACTACACAGCCTTAAAAAAAAAAAAAAAGAAAATTCTGTCATTTGCAATATCAGTGGAAATGAAGAATATTCTGTTAAGTGAAATAAGCCAGGCACAGAAAGACAAATACTGCATGATTATATGTGGAATCTAAATAAGTGAATCTCATAGAAACAGAGAATACGAAGGTGGTTATCAGAGGGTAGAGACGAGAGGGAGAGATGGGAAAAGAGGTGATGCTGATAGAAGGGTACAAAGTTTCAGTTAAACTGGAGGAATAACTTTTAGTAATCTATTGTACTCATGGTGATCACAGTCAATAACAATGAGGTGGGAGGCAGAACTCAACTCTGGAGGTGGCGCTCAGATTGAGGCCTAGCTAAAACAGGGCCTCAGTGAAAGCAACGTTCAATCAGATACTTCCACTAGCAGACCATGTCAATTTACCATTGCCACGACAACACTCAGGAGTTACTGTCCCTTACCATGATAATGTTCCAGTGATTACTACTCCTTTCATAGAAATGTCTGCATAATCTGCCCCTTAATCTTTATGCAATTGAAAGTGGGTATAAATATGACTGCAAAACTGCCCTGAGCTGCTACTCTCTGCCTATGGGGTAGCCCCTTTTCCCTCAGAGTTACCCATCTTGAGTAAAGGTAGTGAAGTCAGTGTCTACAACACCCAGACAAGAGCTATCAACTTGGGGGCCCCAGAGCCAGAATCAATGTGCCTGCTACGAGCAAGGGATCCATTGACAATAAGAATATTTTTACTATCCCTGGTGAGAGAAAAAAAGAAAAAAAGTTCTCCATCAACTCTAGAGCAAACTCTCTCACTGTCCCCAGTAAGCTGCAAGCTGTCTTGTTCAGGTAAGTTTACTGGGAGTCTTGAACCCTAGGCCCAGTGGAGAGTTTCCCACAGTGGCAGATAAACAGTTGCCTGAACATTTTTCTTTAGTGTCTCCACTACTGGGTGAGCTCTCTGGTGGCTTAGGGACTCCAGGATATTCCCTTGAGTAATGCAGTTCACACCTTCCCTTCTTTATTTGATTATTTGATGCTATGGAATCCCCTTCCCTGTTTCTTTCTGTTTTCCACACCTATTGAGGCAAACAAAATTTAGTCAGGCAGATGGGTCCCAATTTTGTAAATAATTTGAATCCAGTTGTCTTGTATAGGTCATTTTATCTAGTGTGCTTCTTTAACTCTGTCTACAGGCACTGTGATATTTGTTGTGTCTAGCACGCTTTGAAATTGGCTTATAAATAAAAGAGCACTCATAAATTAAATAAGACTAGTCAAAGCTAATTAGTTTGAAGAGAATATTATGCCTTCTAAAATTTAACATTAGAATTTTTATCTAAGTAAATCTCTGATGTTCATAGGCTTTAAAATGGTTAAAATGGCTTTAAATGGTCATGAGTTTTGCATGGTATCTTGTTTCTTAGAAGTGGTCTAGATAAAATTGTTAAAAGTGGAAGAATGGAATCGATGTTTAAATAAAGAGCTTATTGTGTGGTTTAAAGTCTTAAAATGATAGAATAATCCTCATCTATAGGATGTCAATGTCTGCTTGGCAGTTCAGGATTTCTTCCTGTCTAGGTTTATATAAAATGTGCCAAAGAAATATATCCTTTATTTGGAAAAAAAAATTTTTGTCTAATTTGGAAGTTATTAAAAGGGAGGTTCAAAATATGAGAGAACCAGTGAGTAAAAAAGAGAGATGTAAAGAATGTTATGGATAGAAAATGTACTTTCTGGTTTGGTGCAGTGGATCACAACTACAATCTCAGCACTTTGGTAGGCTGAGGTAGGCAGATCACTTAAGGTCAGGAGTTGGAGACCAGCCTGGCCAACATGGTGAAACTCTGTTTCTACTAAAAGTACAAAAATTAGCCAGACATGGTGGCACACATCTGTAATTCCAGCTACTTGGGAGGCTGAGGCAGGATAATCTTTTGAACCCAAGAGGCAGAGGTTTCACTGAGCCAAGATTGCACAATTGCACTCCTGTCTGGGTGGTGCAGTGAGACTCTATCAAAAAAAAAATGTATTTTCTTTTGCAAGAAAGTATATAATAAAAGAGTAATTTTATATGAAGAGGGATCTTGTATAGTCAATTTTTATCCTAGTGCAAAATGACTGGCTATTTAAGATAGAGGTAATATAGGACAAGTCAGAAAGTTCAAGCATGTTGTAGATAGTCTGTGTAATTTTTGGTAAGATTCATAAAGGGGAATTTATAAAGGGAACTTTGTGTATAATTAAAAACTTGCTACGATTAAAGAAAATTATTTGTAAAAACCTTTCCAAAAATGGCCTATATATTAAAACCAAATTTTCTAAAGGTATTAATTTGCTAAATTACTAGACATTTTTATTTTCAATTCTGCAATGTATTTCTTTTGAAAGCTATGCAGATTCATGTAACTCTCTCCTTCAGCTTTTTTGTGAGCTCCTCTTATTTTTTCTCCTCTGTTTATGACTGCTGTTGTGGTCTGACGGTAAAGTGTTTTGTCCTAGATATCTGTGGGAGGAGTGTTTTCTCCAAATATAGCTAATTCTATGCTGTTGGTTTTCCTCAATGTATAATCTCATTTTGGCTTTTGGTTTTTAACTCTTAAGTTGCTTAGAAAGGTTTTAGGGCTAGTAGGTACCTGCTCAATTCCATTCCCTTTGGCCCATGGATCTTGATTTTTGTTTTGTATTATCCCTTTTTGTCATGGTCCGCTAGAGGGAGCATCAA